GGTCCCGGCGCGCCGCTCGCTCCTCTGCCGCCTGTCCCGGCTGTCCTTAATGCTGTGTGCTCTCGAGAGCTCTTCCGTGCCGGTCAGTGTCTGCGGAGTGATGTTTTTTGAATTCTGTTTGCTCTTAACGTGCACTGTACGTTCAGGGCTCTGTAGATTTGTTTTGTTTTGTTTTGTTTTGTTTGTTTTCTTCTCAGTGCGAGCGAGGCCAGAGCAGGCGGGCGGCGGCGCGGATGGTGAGGAGGGTGTCCAGCCATGGCCTACCAGCTGTACAGGAACACCACGCTGGGCAACAGCCTGCAGGAGAGTCTGGACGAGCTCATACAGGTGCGGGGGGGCTTCGGGGCTGGGCAGGCCGCTGGGAAAAAGAGAGGTTAGTTGTTAAAACGGCTTCGTGGTCAACGTCGGGAAAACGTAGTGACTGAAGTGAAAAGCCATTGGTACTCCATTCGCTTGGGAAGGCTTTTTCTTAACGTTCGAGGTTAAGGAAAACGCTTGGTGTGAGTGGCGTGATCCCCTGCTGCGTGGCCCGGTCAGTGAACAAACAGCCAGATTGATCTGGAACGCTGTAACCAGTTTCCTTCTCTTCTGGTTGTTTCCAATGAATATTTCTCAGAAGAACTCTTTGTGTAACACAAACAATCATGTCAGCACATTGTTTCTTCTTGGAGTTAAAAGAGGAAAAGGGAAGTAAATACATAATCTGTAAATTGTTCTTCTAGAGGTCTGCTTCATGGGAATTTTGGTTTGATGTTTTCTGCATTTTTGAGTTTAGTTTGAAACAACTCAAAACTTTTTTTTTTTTTTTTAATTATTTTAGTCACAGCAGATCACACCTCAGCTGGCCCTTCACGTGCTACTTCAGTTTGATAAAGCTATAAATTCAGCACTGGCACAACGAGTCAGGAACAGAGTTAATTTCAGGGTAAGATGATAATATGTAAAAGGTTTTTTATGAGGTGCAGTAACTAAGCATTGATGCAGAATGTCATTAAAAGCTCTGTGCTCTAAGCAAAAAAGGTCCACTTTGACTCTGAGATAATGACTGTTTATTTGTATATTCTGTATGCAATAAGGCAGTTTATCTTCTCATTCTGCCAGGGATCTTTTGAAGGCATGCAAAAATCAGAACCAGATTTGGTGGGAGGATGAAAACGGGGGAAGAAGGAAATGCTTTCATAAGTAGAATTGCCATCCTCAGTGTCTTGCAGGTGGAGAGGGAGACCTTTGCTGCTCTTAGTTGTACCTAGCGGAAGCGAGATGAGCCCAGATTTTGAGCCACATCAGTAGCATGAAAAAAGACTAGAGGGTTGTAGATGAACCCTTGTGCAAGTCACTGAATCACTTTTTAGCTGTTTTCTGTAGATATCATAGAAAAATAAGTTTGGGGTTTTTTTTCCAGCCAGCCTAACCCTAGTTAATGTCAGATAGCCAGCAAATTGTTAAATGTCAACTTGATGGTAATTTTGAGAAAAAAACCCGAACAAAAACAGTTATCTTGTTAATTTACATCTTAATACTTCCTCTACAGTCTATGCAGAACGCATTAATGAAGTAAGCTCTTCGGATTTTAGATTTTTAAACCATGTAGATATGTTAAAAAAAGCGTAACTTCTGTTCTCTAACACGCTTACCTTGCTTTGTGTATGTAACATGGCATAGAAAACTGTTCAGAATGTGTTGAGTGGATAAATTAAAACAATGTTACTTGGAACTTATGTTCAAGAGTATCAGTTTGAACTATGTGAAGATGAAAGCCAAAAGGTTCACGTACTAACATCTTCACTAATATATCAAATGTCAGGGATACGCTTTCATGTCACATAGGTCAGTTCTGTCATGATTTTTAATTTAAAGTATCTCTTATTTAAACAATGGCAGAATTCACATCTTTTTATGATCACTGCCATAACTGGCACATGTTTTAAGAAATCTTTTCTGATACTGATCCTTTATACACATTAGAAAAGTTAGAAAACTTCCTAGCATACCTGTGAAGCTTCCCCTTGGATAGAATATAACATCACTACATGGTCTTGAACATTTCAGCCACTGGAGGGCATTTAAACTGCAGTTCTCCTAAGAATTGCTTGCTTGCCAAGTTTGAATGCATTCATGTTCACAGCTGGCTCTATGGCAAACCTAGTTCTAGAAGGTATGTAGTTCACTAGATAGTAAACATATTTTCTGTTACTTTTGGGATGTATCCTACAGAAAATGTCTCTTGTCTTTTTAAAGGGGTCTCTGAATACATACAGGTTCTGTGACAACGTATGGACATTTGTACTGAATGATGTTGAATTTAGGGAGGTCACTGAACTTGTGAAAGTGGATAAAGTGAAAATTGTAGCATGTGATGGAAAAAGTAAGTATGGAATATGGTATAAATAAGCTGAGACACAAGACTTGATCATTTATAGAAAGCTTTGACCAGATGCCTGATTAAACTTAGATTGATTGCACTATTCAGACAAAAGTAAGGCTCTGCATTTCCTTTTACATATGATAAGAAATGAAGCAAAAGCAAGCTAAATGCTCCGCTAACTCGTAAGCACTGAAAAAGGAATGTGTTCGAGACTATTGTATGCCGGTTGTTGGGAAGTACTTACTACTAGAGCAATTAGAAATTCAAAAGTAATCTTAATTGAATTTCTGTGTGGTGACTTTTTTAGTATTAACCTGTTTGTTAAAATGGCACCATGTTTTATTGAATTAAAGGAGAGCTTTGTCAGTCCGAGCAAGCAATTGTCTGAGAAAACTGTCTGAGCAATTCTTTGCTGGATTTGATAGTAGGAGACCCAAGCACATGAAAAGCTTATGCTAGCCTTTGCAAATTATAAGATTTATATATTGCTCAACAGGCCCACTGTATGTACACGCTTACAGGAGTTTATGTTCCATATCTGCTTGACTGGATTATTTTTGTCAGTGTTCCCCGAAATTGTTTACTGGAAAAAGTCATTTAGTGACTTTTAGGGTTTATAAGGTTTTATAACTTTTAAAACCATCAACGTGGCAGAATATTGCTAAAGATGTGTGAAATGGTGCCACTTGCTTCATCCCCAAGGAGTGATGCTAAAAGGTAGAACTGAGAATGGGAAAGGTTTTATTTAAATATACCCTAGACTTCTGAAACAGGTTCTTCATGGCTTCCTGATCCTGGCGTGGTTACAGTGGCCACTCCAAGTTGTAGTTCTAAAGAGCTGACAGAATTTATTGTTTGCTCAACTTCGGGTATTAGCCAAGCATATAATCTTAGTCTTGTTTATTTTTTTGTGTACTTATTATAGCTAGTAGAGGAAACCTTACTTTCCAAGTATTAATTGTTTTCACTCTTGATAAAGCATGCAGATAAGAGTTAAAGAACTGGGTGACTTAAAGTTGCTGTTAACATTACAGCCTTTCTTCCCACAAGAAGTTTACTTGCTAAAGGAACATAGTAAACACTGACTTGTCTTTCTCCATATTCAAGTTAGGTATTTTTTCCATAGCTCTAGCAAAATCGTGATTTAGCCAGATGTGCTTGTGGCTGACTGCAATAAAATGTTTGTGCATCGCTACAAGTTAGAGCAAAGCTTGCATTTTTAGTGCCTTAATAGCAAATGATATGTATGCACAACCGTGAAGTTTTGTGCTGGCTCTTTTCAGTGTTGTTAACTGAAGTGAAACAGCACGAGCAGTTCATGCATTGCATTGGTAGCAGTGGAGGGAGTTGGTTAGGTACAGAACATGTTCTAAAATGCTTCGGGAATGCTTTTGAGCTTGGGGAAGGTATTAGAGAATGGTACTGGTTCTCTTTAATTTATACTCAACTGTAGTGGGGATATGTATTACTCACACTTTCTTTTTTCTTTCCTAGACACTGGTTCCAATACTGCAGAATGAATAGAACTGTGGTTTGTCTGCAATATTTTCTGTTAATATGCAGCACTTTCTGGAGAAAAGCATGGAAAAGGGACTGTGTTCATACTTAATTCTTGTGATGCAGATGTGAGTTAATCCATACTAGAAAGCATCACAGAATGACAGCAGAAGAAATACCTGTAGCATTTCTTCAGTTCACTGTATAGGGCATGAATACAATGTTACTTTTTTTTAATTTTTATTACCAACAGATACTGTTGCCTTTTTTGTTCAAAATAATTTCTGTAATAAACATTTATTTAAAAACTTGTGAATGAGTGATCACTGCAAAACTTTGTTTGAAAACAATAATTAATATAATATATTCTCCCAGTATTGTCTAAGTACGTTTAGAGTAATGTTGCAAATACAGAAGTCTTACAGGGTTCTGAGTATGGTTGCACTGATTAGTACTGCAAGAAATGGCTGTTTCAGAATGATGGAGCAGGACATCAACAAAAGCCAACTGGCTCACGCTGGCCAGTATGTTTGACTGTTTGTTACCGCATCTTTCTATCTATAAATTTGTCCATTTGGTGCCCTCTGATAATAACATGCTACTCCAAGTATTATTAAAGTTATTGCACAGCTAGTCAAATTTAAATAATGAAACTGAGACTCATAAGATTGCGCTACATTCTCAACAAATGTCAGTGCTGCTTTTTATGTTTTTCTAGTTGTTTTTTGTATTTATGTGGAACACGTTTAATTGGACACCTGGCCAACAGGATTTCAGTGAAAGAGTTGAGCTATGAGTTTTGAGATGTCAAATGGGTAACTTTATTCTTTTTAGACTTACACATTTCACTAACTAACTCCAATCAAGAAACCCTTAAAATAGTTTCTTCACTAGAGATAGCTCATTTGTCTGACAGAACAGCATTGACTGATCCAGTGTGGTCATAGGAATGCTGTCTGCCTCAGCAGCATAAAATTCATTTATTTTTGACAGTACCACTAGAAGCTGTAAGTCATACAGAAAAGCCAGGGGGTAACTGTTTTCAGATGAGTCTAAATCTTTAATTTGTGCCGAAACTGGAGCATAATTTCCATGTTGAAACCTTTCTCTACATGTCAGTGGTCCAGTCTATTAAAGTAATAAAGCTTTAGTATCTCTTGTAATACTTTTCCACACTGATGTATCACAGTTCTCTAAACCCTACCATTGGACATCAAAGGTCATCACTACAAGTGAGAACAGAGTTCACAAACTTGCTTGCTAGACTGTTCCAAGTATTAAGTTTACCATACTTTGTTTTTTTTTGTCTTGTATCTATGACAAATGTCTTCTGCTGCAAACTGCAGATTGGTAAGTAACCATTTCTGAAACCAGAAAAATGAACTATTGCTCTTATTTGGACAGCACAATAAATACCTGTTGAGGTCATTATCTTAAAGGATGCAAATGTATATCCGTACCATGGTTTTATCTTTTTTTACATCAGACTCAATCTTCTAGGTTTAAACATTTTTTGTTCTCTAATAATCATGTGGTAAACTGAATTTCACCCCTTACAAGTATAAAAGTTTGCTCTTCCTACCTCCAAGTTTGCAGTCTCTTCCTGTCTGGACAGAAACTTCTTGGTCTCCAGTTTTCTGTAGCCTTTGGACTCCTTCCTAATGCAAATAATTATATATCTGCTTTTGTTCCAATTAAGTGTGTGTTAGTATATTTTTACGAGAGCATTTTCCCATTAAAAACAAGTTTAATAGAGAAGGACAGTTGTACTGATGATGTGAGATCATTGTGTGAAATGGATTTATGTTTGTATTTCCTTGATACTCTTCTCTCAGACTTCTATTGTGTTTCAACAGTTGTATGCTACTACTTTAGTACTCCCAGCCCTAGTGCTACCTTAGCTGGTAATGAAAAGAAATACTTAACTGAAAAAGAAAATAATGTAATTAATATATATACTAAGAAAAATTACAAATAAAAGAGAAATAATTTTGTTGTCAAATATGTCTGCTACTGAGTAATCTGTGAAATTAAAATAATTGTGAGCAGGAACTAGAAACTATTATGCTCACAATTGAGGACAATTTTACTGACTTGTTTAAAAAAATAAGTAATAGTCCAGTTGAAGCTCTAGAGTTGGTCCTTTGGAAGGAGAAGGTGATGGGATACTCCCTATGCTGATGCACAACAGTAATACTTTGAATTGTATACTCTACTTATCTAGTAGTTCCTATTCGGTTTGAAAAGTGAAATTTTAATATTGCCTTGCCATGGAAGGAAGCATTTGAAAAGGAGACAAACATTCTGAAATGAATTTAAATTACCTGAGTACTGTACTGAAAAAATGTGCAAAATGCTTAAGTGACAGTGATGTTCTTGATTACCTTGTTGTTTAGCCCGAGTTAAGTCAGTGGCAAAAAGTGACAGAGATGAAAAATACTAAATAGTGAATTTTACAGATGCTTCTGGACTATTCTAAAATTATCCCTTTTGCTAATGCACAACAGACAAGATTTTTTGAGCAACTGGAATGGTTGGGGACAGGAAGCAACCTGTTCCTGGGCACAGTAATATTGAAGGGACTTTGTGCTGAAGGAATCTGGGTAATTTAGTCTGTGTGAAAGGCTAGAAAGCATGCACAAATGGGGATAAGGGAATGTGAAACAGCAAACAAATGAGTATGAACAAATGGGCAGTCCTAATATATGCCTCTGTAATCTAGACATTCCTCTCTCCAGCAGAAAGTCTGAGGTCTTCCATACAAGACAACAGAAATAGAGAAGTTACAAAAATAAAAACTAAAGGAGAAAAAGGCAGACATGTACCCTGAACCTTTGTGTTGCTGCTGCCTAGATAATTAGTAGTGGTATTAGAAGCTTTATTTCACATTTGGTTAATGTTTTAATATTGCTGGTTAAAGTTTTCTGATAATAGGCTAGCTCTGTTTGGTTATAGCAAATGCATCAAGCTGTTGTTCTGCAAACTATTTGTTTTCCACTCTCATGGCAGAATCCTTCTTGTTTTTCCGTATACTCTGTGTTTAATTTACAAAGTATTTTGTTTTAACTACTTACTGTTTCTAAAATTAGCTTACATATGCGTCTTCCATTTCCTTCATGACAGTGCAGTGTTAGGCAATGCAGGTATCTGATATTTTTTCATCTGTGGGATGTTTCCAGGACATGGAATTCAAATCTGGATGCATACAGACTACTGAGTTACCCGAGTACAAAAAGAATACTTGAACTTCTTGTGATCAATGCTATACTCTTGTGGTCTGTTGTCCTTGACAAAGAGCACATCTGTGCACGTGCAACAGAGGAGCGTTTGGCAGCCGTGTTCCTTGCGTGGCTATGTTACAGTGGTGAAGCTCCAGGAACCACTTCTTTAGTGTTTATTTGTTCAGTGAATATACTGTTGAAAGCTGCAGAAGTTTGTGTTGGTTTTGTGCGTGTGAAGGAACAATATGAATAAGGATTGCTTTATGGTTTCTAAAGCTTCTAAAGTAAATCTCACACAGGTCTGGAGTTCCATCCTTATCTGGCTTTTTTCTGTATTTTGTTTGGAAATACTATCTGTTCCGAGCTCACCTCTAGTTTCTCTCACTTTTGGTGTTGTTTCTAAACTATCTTTTTTTTTGTAGACTTCTCATTCAGCATAAGGTGTTTACCCTGTTAACTCTGCCATCTCTTTAGAAAACAGCTCCTGAGGCATACTGAGGTGTAAATAATTCTTGGGAATAATAATTGTGATGTCTAGAATTTCTCCAGTGATGCCTCAGGGAGTATTTGCCTGTGGGTTGAAGGCTGCTGCCTGCTCACTGCAGAAGAGAAGCTTGCCTGTGCTTCTGGAGGAATTAATTCCTGCAAACCTCACAGCTGTCAACGCAAGCTCTGACACTAGTTTGGCAGCACAGACCATTCTTTTCAGCTCTAACCATGTTTCTGGGATGGTGTTTGTCCAGGCCCTGGATCTGCTACATCTGTGGAGGCTGTTTCAGTTTACTGAAGGAGAGGGGAGCAAAGAGAAGATAAGGGGATCTGGTGCCGATATTCTTCCTGCTTTTTATTGCTTTACTCTCCACATGTTTCTTGCCAGTTGCTTTTTTATTTGCATTTGAATTTCCGCTAATCTCTCCAGGTTCATATGACTAATGTCTTTTGTAGTCTAGGAAGATTTGTTGAACTTACACCTAAAAGTGTTAACCGCATTTTTGTTATACTACACTGTTTAAATATCCAGCAGAAGACAAACCATCTCACTTGCTCCAGCATCACCATACTCGCTGCTGCTACCACCTCTTCAGTTCTTCCTTGCCTGTAGTGTCACGGACTGAATCACTTATTTGGTTTTTTTGTTGAATTTCTTCAGAAAAGTCACAGTTGCTTCCACCTATCAGTAGCAGATAAAAAGTCTGCTTGAGCTGGAATGGATGTTTCTATTTAGAAAGTAAATTAACTAAAAGGAAAGAATAAACACCAATACGGAAGTGGCTGTGGGTGACTGCCTGTGTTTAAACATGTCTTCTGAGAAAAAGGAATCAGTGAATTCTGAAGTGCACAGAACAGGATGTTATCTGAAGTAAGCTGTTTGCTCAGTCAGGGATGTCAACACCTGACATTAAATGTTATCAGAGAGACACAAGTTAACGCAAAGTACAGAGCAGGAAGAATTTATTATGAATTCCCAGAAGACAAATTTAATCAGGATCATTATGTACTTTTACACAATGCCTGGTACAATGAGGTAGATGAGAGGTACTTGCTTTTAAGGATCTCAGCAGCTTGAGAGGCAGTATTTCAGTTAAGGTAGTAGTGACTTCGTTTGGCTGTTCTGTGCTCTAAGTTTGGGGGGCGGGGGAGAAAAATAGGAGTGTGGTAAAAAGCATTTTAACTTTTATAAGACTGTACTGCAAGATGTGGGGTTTTCCTTCACTGTAAGTTAAAGGGTGATCTTTGCTAGGACAATAGCTTTGCTCAAAGATAAATTGACTGAATAAATGAGCCATTATGGCTTAGCAGGTAGTAGATATATGAATATTTTGGTTTTCACCTTATGCTAAAAGAGCCTGCACCCTCCAAGGAAGTGGAAAATAGTTCACTGAGAGCCTAGTTAATGTTTCATGGTCACTGCTGTTGCAGTCAGAAGAAAAAGGACACCCTAAACCTGTTCCGTAAATCAATTTTACTCATGACTGCAAATACTTCACTGATATTTTGTTCCTATAGGTCATGTTTGCTTCTAGTTTGTTCAGAACTAGAATAACCTGGTTTCCTCTGAATTTATTTCAATTGACCCATCTCTTTATTAT